TGTAGCAATTTTAATCCCCCTCTCTGGAAGAAAAGACCAAAAAAATCCAGTAATTTAAATACACAATTCTGTAACGTTTATTTTCAATTTGAATAATGACAATGTGAAATTATGGCAAATATGAAATATGGACGAATAACCAATAGTATTATTTCAGAAAGTGAATGACGTAAATATAGAAGTGAATGACGTAAATATAGAGACTTTGAGAAGTATAGATTTAATTTGGACTAAGGTTTTTAGCTCTAACGTTAAAATTTGGGTACGCTTATCTCAGATTCGTGAACTAAATTATGTCTAAACAAAGTTGGCACTTATTTGTTCTCTCATTAGAAGGAAGATGTTCTGTCCAACCAGGGAGTTGTCCATTTTCCTCATTACCACGTCAGATATGATGACTTTGCCGGAGGTCCAATACTGAAGGGTTGTTTTCCCAGGGCCATGTAGGGTCCAGCAGGGCATCACTCTCAGGGTGTTTGAGCGTTTTAGGACTTCCTCCATCTCTCAGCTGGTTGGCTCAGAGCCACCTCTTCATCAGGACACTTCTTCCATCATGAGACTGTTTCTCTCAGAAAGTTCTCCTCAGTAACTTCTCCTTCCAGCTGCTCCGCTCAGCTGCTTGACGACCACGGACTTCGATGTCCTGTCTACCTGACCTCAAAAGTCGTGCCCCTAATTTTTAACCAATCAGAGTGCTCTCACAGTGGGTGTACCCGACTGTATAATTATTAATGTAATTATAACCTCCCTTCTCGAAGTCTTGGAGAAGATAACACAATAGCCTTTGTTAAAAAGGGTGACAACTTGTTTTACATAAACACAATTTCTTTCAGCAAAATGCAAGCTTGATCCTAGCAAAATACTGTAAAAACAATGGAGTTTCTTTGACTCTCTGTTCAACTGGGGGTTAACTTCCTTCGTTACTTTGGCAACCACAGTTCTTGTGAGTAGAGAACGGTTTACTTCTTTGTTAGAGATTCCTCTCCAGAGACTAAAGTCTGTCTTTATAAAAGGGGTTAATTATCAAGAAAATATGGATCCAGAGGTGGTCAGGGTGATCTCATCCCGACTTGGGAGATTAACATAGAGAAGGGGGCAGAAGAGACACGGTGTCTCTGAGGACGTTCTGTGTCTTTGAGGACGGTTTGTCTCTGACAAGGCCTTGGATGGATGCTACAGCCGCATTAAACAAATAACCTCAAAATGTTTCATCAACAAGATGAAGCAGTGTTTTTTTGTAAAGAATCTACAGTTAAGCAAGAAACATTTGTCACCTGCTTCAACATTTGGAGTAGAAATATATTTTATTTGGTCCAACATTTTTCAGTCAGGTCATCTGGACAGTTTCTTTTTTTGTGCTGAAACGTTTCGCCTTCGATCCGTAATCAACCTGACTGAAAAATATTGGATTGTATACCTGGATTATTGAGCATGGACTTTGTTATATTTTATTTGAGTATTTTTTTAGTCTTCTGAACACATAAGCTAACGTAAGCAGTAAAGTTTTGGCTGCACAAGCTATAGCTGTATATTAGTGTGTCATTTATTCATTAGTTTGGATCTTCTCATGCAAGTGAACTTTTAACTTGTCTTCATTCAGTTTGCGGCGGGTTTACGTCATCAACAAGGAGATCTGTGTGAGAACAGTGTGTGCACACGAGGAGCTGCTTCGAGGTGGGTCGATATGTTCACATCCTGACTGACTGAAGACAAATCATTTCATTGAATGATGTTATGAATAACCTAAACATGAGCAGTACAAAGATAAGACAACCATTAAGACATATTTTCTGTTTAAACTAGGGATGCACGATATTGGATTTTTGGCCGATATCCGATATGCAGATATGTTTTCTCTGCTGTGGAATCAAAATGCATTATTCTGCATGTTCTGTCAACTTGGGCTGCTACCAAATGCAATGCCAAAAAAGGGGCTGAAAATGATGTAACGCTTCAACTTGGATTATGTCTAATGTCAAATTTATTCATGACATTTACTCTCACAATGATAACACTCAAACAGTGCAAATTTGTAAATTTTCACAAATCTAAACTCAACAGTGTGCGCGATGTCATAATAATGTACTGGCGCTGTAGGTATCCTTGTCACTGGGTTGTCATACAAAAACAGCACCTTTATTAATATATAAATATATATATATATATATACATAATTGATACTGTGCCTTATAGTCCAAAAAATATGTCCGTTTAATTCAACTGGCTGTCAGAGGATTAACCGACCTGTGTGTTTGTGTTCAGCGGATTTGTGTCGAGACCAATTCTCCCGTTGCGGCGTGATGGCGCTCAGCGGTCAGTGTGCATCACTGGGAGGAAGCTGTGGGAAGAGCTGCGGCGGCTGCTGATGATGATGCTCCTCCTCACTTTGCCTCCCAACACCTTACTTCCCCTGTGCGATAAGCACCTTCAGTATTCCTGTTTTGTCCTCTGTGTGTACGAATTAAAAAAAACTAATGATTGTATAAGTCACTGGTGCTATAAACACTTTTAAAATGTGCAAATAAAACCACAGAACCCTGTATTTTATTTGAATTTTTGCATATTGTATCATAATAATCTCCTGTTTTGTGTCTGTTGATGCATTTCTGTACTTTTATTATAAAACAGTCGTTGTGATGATCAGAATCCTTTATTAGAGCACTGACATCCGACTAAACTGATCAAGATCGGTCATCTCAGCAGACGATCATGAGATTTGAGAAGCAGGTGGTGAGTGACCCCAGTTTTTTTGTACTACTGCTGCAGACAAGTGGCAACTAGTGCTTTAAAAAGGCCTCTGTACTACTGCTTTGTGAAACTGTCACTATAAAAACCAAAGAATATAAACAGTTTTTTTTACAACTTCTTAGTGATGTGTGATTGATTTAAATATTAATGTGAAAAAAGGAACAAAAACACAAATTATGGCGTTGCTTTGTGCTCCATACATGTTTATTTTCTACACGAGCGACACCGAGGTCACAAATCAGTCTGTCAAGAGTTTATATGATTATATATATATATATATATATATATATATATATATATATATATATAT